ACCAAAAGAATATGATATAGCAGAGGCCTGACCCTCCTTGAAACTCACTTATGCCCTGTGACTCGTGGCATTGAAGCAGAAATATAATAATTAACTTTTACATTGCTCAAGCTCCTTTTACTCGTTTGTGTGCGTGTGTGTCTGCCTCTCTGTCTGCTAACATATACTTTATACTGGCCCTAAATCAAAGTGGTCAAGAGAGCCTGATGCCAAGTTATTGTCACCAAGGCTTAATGACCCAATGAAAGCCCTGACCGATGCTGCGTAAGCTCGTAGCAACTATGGTTGAGATAATAAAATACGGCTTGTAAGCATGTAAGTCAGGTTACGAAACCATCTGACCTAGCCTTTCAGTCATTGAGGTTTAACTACCCAAGGAAAGGCTTGACTGGGGATGCATAATCTGGTACGTATGGTCTGTTTGATGGGCTTAAGTTAATAAGTTGGACGAGTGTGAGTGAGTTAGAAGCATCACCGAGTGGGCAAGTTGAGTCGCTTTCTTTTGGATAGCGACTCTCATTCAACATATCATTCAAGTGTAAGCAGTTCTCTTTTAATACGATTGACGAAAGCTTAGCACAATTTCAAGTTGCCTCGGAAACAATGTCAACGAGAATGTTCTAATGAGGCTAATCGGCAGCTGGTCAAGAAGAGTCTGCTGTCGTATTCTGGTGAGATCAACCTTGGAATCTCTTCCCTAAACACTTTCACTCGAAATGAAAGTAAGCTCGACAATTATGAAACAAGAGATTACTCGAAACCCAACTATTCTTCGCATATAAACTCTTTTTCTAGATTGAATGATAGACTATGTAATTGGGCTAAAAGTAGTATTTTTTACTATTAATGACTAATACTTGTTTGCTTTAGTGGCGAGTATATGATAAAAATGTGATATTGAAGAGGCCCAGTATGCTTGCAATTTCACGTTTTCTTTGTGGCCGATTGGCACTGGTGACAGTGCGATGCTGTCGTAGTATATCGACAAGCTACGATGCACACTGCCTGGATTCGAGCCCCACTGAGCATGCTGACGAGCTCAAAACTGCAGTTCAGTCAAGGCAGGACATGTACACTTTTTGAAAAGCAATGCTACCTTGAGGGCAACTGATATCATAATGGGAAAATTCAACGATCACTCTTACATCACCTTACACGACCCAAAGTGACTAGAATCCAAAGCATAGGATGCTTCATGAGGCTTCGAAAGTTGGGCATAGGAAGTGAGTAGGTATGAAGCCGATCACACTTTCTCTTAGTTTACGATATTGGTGCGCTTCTTCGGCAAGTATGTTTTCTCGCTATGGCGACATCTGTCACATCGTGGCAGACAAAAGCTGAGCATGGATTCCCTGGTACCGCAGGACGGTGAGTCGGAGTCTTCTTCGCACAATACAGCAGTTTACATTACTTCGAACTCCGCTAGCGCAAATACGGAGTTCCTTCCTACCAAAATTTCCTTTGAAATGAAAAGTTGATTAAGTCTTAATCTTAAGGGGATTCTAGGGAATCCATCTTTTCTTTATACCTTCACATATTGTTCACATTCGTTAGACACTCCGACTTGAGTTCTTGTGTACAGGTTCTTGAAATGTATGCATTTTTTCGGCTCTAGTGGAGTGTGTGTGTGGGGGGAGGGTGACGTAGTTGTACAGCTACACAGACACGAATTAGAGATCGGGCTCGTATATCATGACACAACCTTCTGGAACCGGAAATTCTTCCGGTTTAACCACGTGTTTCGACGACGTCAACTGTGCTGTCTGCGGCTTGACGCCGAGCCATTGACAGACTCGTCGCTCAACGGCGACAGAGTTGTTCCGGAGTGCAGTTCGAGTCGGCGCCGTCGTCAAGGCACGAAATGGCAAAGTCGGCTGGAGCCTGGCGGCGAAGAACTCCCTCTCACGCCAGTCCTCTCCACTTGTCATATCAGCGCGACATGCATGTCCCCTCGGCCCGGGTCGGCCGGATCCCGGGCTCCGCCAGGCCGGTTTCCACGCTTCCGCCGGTACGGCCGATCGGCTGCCAAGACAGCGAGTTGACTCCGCGGCATTGCCGCCACTTGGCAACTGGATCACACCCGGCCTCGGCTCCACCGGTCCACCTGCCGCTGCCCGACAAGCGTACCTGATCGCCGGTCGTTCGCCGTCGCCGTCGCCATCGCCGTCGGCTCGTCTGACT